TAAATAATAATACAGTCTTTTATACAAATTAAATGGATGTGTTAGATTAATTACGGATTACTGATGGAGCCCAAGTCAGACATTATTTTCTGTCGATTACTGTTGATTTATTGTACAGTATAAAAGCATGATGATATCTGGTTTATATATTATATGGTTTAAATGCATGTATTAGTATCCTACTTGACTACTTTTTGATTTTGGGAATCTAAGATATGATTACATTGTTAGATGTATGTTACTTATTTATGTATTTATGTTTGATTTGGTGACGGAGACTAAGGACAAACAAGAATGGGATGTGATCTGATAAATAGATAAGGTGACAGCCTCACTAGATATCCTGGAAAATGATGGACGGACCGGGTTTGTAAGGAACCCTACCGTGAACGTTGTCTCATACCGGACGAGGTATGAAGACTTGGTAATTTGGCGCTCATATCAGACAGGGTATGGGGACGGTCCGCTTCATCCTCATACCGGACGGGGTATTGAGGTTTAATATCTTGGCGCTCATACTGGACGGGGTATGGGATGATCCTGGAATTAAGATTGTTAAGGAAAATGGTTTACGTATAGCGGTGACACCCTTATGGATCCCCATAGATACTAGTAGGCTGGTAGAAATGAGAAACGGTGATAATAAGTTATCGTTAATGAATACGAATTTATAATATGTTTTATGTTACTGACTATACATGAAATTGTGATCTGTATGATATTACTGCTTCTGTAATTTGTTTCAATCAATTCCCCGACGGCAAGAAAAAAGATAAATGATTTTATTTTAAATAAATGTATTGGTTTAAATCTACTGCTTCATTGGTTGTTTTGATTTTCTACCAACCTTTACTTCTGTGATGGTGATATAGTATGATATCCTTACTGGGTTAGTGTAACTCATTCCTTATTTAACCATTTCAGATCATGAGGACCTGGTTCCCGAGCCTAATCCGCAAGAAGGCTGTGAGTAGATGCTAGATACTTTATAGTTTTTTTTATTTTTTTCATTTCTCGTATTTCTTTCAGAGAACTTATTCCGCGATATTGTTTAGTACTTTTAAGTTATTGTGTAAGGGATGTTAAACTTAATCTTTTATTTCGCTTATGTACTCAGATTATTATATGTATTTTCTTTTAAATTTCTGTGGCCGTTACAAAAAATCTCTTCTTCTTCTTCACAAAAGCATAACTTTTGTGTCTGCGAGAGAGAGAGAGAGTGAGTTTCCTCTTAGTATGTTGTGCTTCCTTTTTTTTTCTTCTACTTTTTTTTTTAAACAGAATACTAAGTGGGTAATTTTTTTTTTTTAGATGTGTTAACTAATCACAATCTTTTAACTCCGTCATAGGTGACCCACCCGATTAAATTCAATACAAATACAAATACATTGCACTTACTTATTTGAAACATTACAAATTCTTATACGTATCTAAGTTTTAAAACTGAATAGATATTAATATAAAAGAACAAGCGATATACTTTTAGAGACTCGGGGATAATGTTTTTATCAAGATTAGGTTATTAACAAGAAATGTTCAATTCAAATTCTAATTATGACAAAATGTTAAAGAACTTCACCATGTGATTTATTTCAAAACTTGTTGGTGGTGGGTGGAGGGAGATAGAGACGCCATTTCTCTGTTTCTGGTGGTGTTGAAAAATCTGAAATATAATCAAATACAATAAGAAGAAGATTAATAGTGGGTCCTTGAGAATAAGCCAGATAAATATATATATATATATATATATATATATATGTAAGCTTATTTTACCTTGACCCAAAAGAAAGACTATTTAAAAACTTCTGATAGGGTACACACAGACATACACTTATATGTATTATATATCTATAAAAACATACAGTGTCTCTGTCAATGTCCAGTACAAAAGACAAAAGAATTGCAAGGTCTTTCTTTGTCGAAGAAGAAGAAGAAGAAGAAGTTAGCCAGCTCGCCGGACGCCATGTGTAGAAGGTAATGTCCGTGATGCCAACCACGGATATATATATATATATATATACACACACACACACACATATTATGAAAGGTTTATACACTAATAATAATATAATTAATAATATTATAAATTTTTAACTAAGACGCTCTTAACTTAGGATTCCATTCTTGCTGTCCTTACTGTATTGTGTGTGCATATACATATATCTATATATATATATATATATGCACAGTGTATATTGGTGTACGAGAAGACAGTGATTGATGTAGTTTCCTTTATTTATTGAACTCGTACTTCATTGTCTATCACTATCATTTGTTAAGCGTGGTTCTTCATTTAATTGCGTGCAAGAAGGGAAAAACTTAGACAAAATTTCATTTTAATTTTTCTTCATTTAAGAGAATTTTAGGATTAATTTCATTTTATTTTATGTCTAACTTAAATATCGTAATAAATTATAAAAATATAGTTAATCACCAAATTTGTTATAATAGCCTACATCATCAAGTCTACCGGCACAGAATACGATAAGCCTCGTATCAGAAGCATATCTTACGTCATTCTAAGACAAATTCGTACTCTAGTAACACCACAATTTTTTATATTCACTTTACTGAATGTACGAAAAGGTAAGACATGAATAACTCTCTTTCAGAAGTGACACGAATAAAAGAGCTAATTATTAACAATGTAAGTAGAATCGTAAGAGGTTAGACTTGCCACTGACTCTCATAAAATAGCATAAAGTCTTAAGAGATTGTAGCTATGACTTCCTTCTTCTTGTCATTCTTCTTATTTTCTTCACCTGATTTATTGTTTTGCTCTTTCTTCTGCTTGTAGTAAAATTTTTTAATGTAGTCTTTCTTACTACTTCATATTTAGTATGTTTTATCTAATGGTATCCAAAGGTATAACCCATTATCAAGTATTTATACCACTAAGAGAGTTGATTCAGACGTCTCGTATCTGTGTTTAGTATCATTGGAGACAAGATATCATGTCTTTCCTTACTCTTAACAAAAGGTAACAATAACATGACATCTTGCACACCCTTTATTTTTAGTTGCACAACTTGTGGACGAGTGAATCTGTACACTCCATACACTTTGCATTTGGAAATTTTTTTATGGTCACAGAACACTATAATAAGTATCCAGAGATCAAACATCTTTTTATTCTCATCGATAGGTACCTAGAGGCATTGTATCTTACTGTTACGTCATTTTTAAATTCTACCACTTTTAAATGAGTCAAATCGAGAACTTTGTTGCCTTAAGATCCAAATCCTATTCTTAAGGGCTAGTAAATAATGGAATAAAAACCTTAAGCTTATAAGCTAAGCATTTGTGCTCTCGCTGAGTTATAATTGGAGGCAAATGACATACGACCCCTTCATTTCTTGGTTGTATAACTAACGAATTGATAAAACCTGCGCACCTTATGTTCTGAAGAAGGTCTATCTATTCACGAGGGTCAGCAAATGCTAGAATAATAACTCTAAGTCGATAAACCAAAAAACTCTATACTCTTGTCCCACATGCATGAGCTCTTGTGATCCTTCGCTTGAGTTGCTCCTCGTTAAGAATGAATCAATTTGAGCATTCTTTTGTATAGTAGAAACACACTTTTATTAATAAACTCTGTCTAGTGATATAATAAAAACTTCAAGTTAATGAATCAAACATCTACTTTTTTTTTTCTTTTACTGAGTTATAACTAGTAATATGGTGTTTTGGTTTCAAGCAATACCACTTGGAAAACGTTAATCCGAATAGCTCGTAGTATATCAAGGGCATCGCCAAACACTAGGCTTGAGCTGATCAATCAAATATTTCTCTTTTCTCACTCGGTGTTATGTGAAGACATAGTATTTTGCGACTCGTTCTTTTAAAATAGTATCTCTTTCAAATGAGTCGATAGCAGGTTTTGAAAGTGATTTGAGTAATTATTATTAATTACGGTGTTGGTAAAGTTAAAATTTTATTAATTTCTAAAAAAAGAGAGACATAACGTATTTAAAGATTTTTTTTTATAAAATAATATAAATTGCGAGAAATAAAAAGGAAATTTGACTTTAGAAAGTAGAAATTAAAAAAAAAAATTAGACCTAATTTTTCCATGGTCAAAAAAATTCTTTTAAAAAGGAAAAAACAAAGTTGTTGGATAGTGGGTTTTGTCATCGTCATATGTTTATAGTCACTTCCCCCTTTGAAATCAATAATAACGGCACTTCTAATGGAAGACGATAATATATCTCAATGGCCGCCTCCTATACATACATCTGTTCATACATATATACATCTGCATATACGTACGCGTTTCTCACTAAGTGAAACATCTCTCTCTCTCTCTCTCTCTCTCTCTTCTTTGTTTATGTGAACCCATGTGGGTATGCTCGGAAAAGCTCCCACATTCCTCTCTCTCGTCAAATTAGGCATCTCGTATACAAGATCCTGGTTCTCTTCGTGAGTTTTCGTATCGAGTCTATGAGCCCTTTTCGATTCCTATGATTTCCTCTCCTAACATGGCTTGTGTTCTTGGATTCTTCTCTGTAATTCTTCTGTTTCTCTCACCCGCTGTTTTCTCTCAGCTCACTGACCTCTACTTCCCTGGATTCAAAGACGTAGATCCCACCAACTTGACCTTGAGCGGAATTGCAGAGATTCAGAAAAATGGTGTTCTTCGCTTAACAAACGAGACCAGTCGGTTACTGGGTCATGCTTTCTATGCCGCTCCGATCCGACTCAAGAACGATGGTAAACCTGTATCTTTTTCTACTTCTTTTGTTTTGGGTATAGTCCCTGAGTATCCCAGACTTGGCGGCCATGGCCTAGCTTTCGCCATCGCTACATCTAAAGATCTCCAGGCGCTGCCCAGTCAGTATCTTGGACTTCTCAATGCAACCGATAACGGAAACTTCACAAACCATCTAATCGCGGTGGAGTTTGATACTGTTCAGGATTTTGAGTTTCAGGACATCAACGATAATCATATTGGAATCAATCTCAACAGTATGGTTTCTAATGCTTCTGTTGTTGCTTCTTATTACGTTGATGATTCCAATAAGCAAAATATCAGTCTCAAGAGTGGAAAACCTGTTCAGACTTGGATCGATTACGATTCCTCAACGAATCTAATCAACGTTACGATTTCCCCAAATTCTTCCAAACCCACAAGACCGATCTTGTCTTATAAAGTGGATCTCTCCCCAATCTTACACGATTTCATGTACGTTGGTTTCTCTGCTTCAACGGGTTTGCTAGCTAGCTCACATTATATTCTGGGTTGGAGCTTTAAGGTCAATGGTCAACCTCGACCTCTTCATCTCTCTTCACTTCCTCCATTACCAGGTCCGAAGAAGAAACATACAGCGTTAACAATCGGAGTTTCTCTCATGTCGGTGGTTCTCGCCATGTCTGTGATGGCGATTGCTATATATCTGTTTTGGAAAATAAAAAACGCAGATATAATCGAAGATTGGGAACTGGAAATCGGACCACAGAGATATTCATACGCAGAGCTCAAGAAAGCAACCAAAAGTTTCAGTGACAAAGGACTACTTGGTCATGGTGGATTTGGTCGAGTTTACAGAGGAGTACTTCCTGGTTCAAAAATCCAAGTCGCGGTTAAACAAGTTTCCCACGAATCAAAACAAGGTTTGCGAGAATTTTTATCGGAGATTTCTAGTATAGGTCGTCTTCGTCACCGAAACTTGGTTCAGTTATTGGGTTGGTGTAGAAGAAGAGGTGATCTTCTCCTTGTTTACGATTTCATGGCTAATGGCAGCTTAGATAAATTCTTATTCGACGAACCGAAAATGATTTTGAACTGGGAGCAGAGATTTAAAATCATAAAAGGGGTAGCCTCTGGACTCCTTTACTTACACGAAGGCTACGAACAGATCGTGATTCACAGAGATGTTAAAGCTAGTAATGTATTACTCGACAGTGAATTAAATGGAAGATTAGGCGATTTCGGGCTCGCTAGATTGTATGAACACGGATCGAATCCGGGTACAACTCGGGTCGTGGGTACTCTGGGTTATCTTGCACCAGAGTTACCCAGAACTGGAAAGGCTAACGCGAGCTCCGATGTGTACGCATTTGGTGCTGTATTGCTAGAGACGGTTTGTGGGAGAAGACCCATCGAGCCAAAAGCCTTGCCGGAGGAGTTAGTCCTCGTTGATTGGGTATGGGAAAATTACAGAGAAGGTAAGGTTCTCGACGTGGTAGATCAGCGACTCAACGAGAAATATGAAGTGGGTGAGGTGTTAATGGTGATTAAACTCGGATTAATGTGCTCCAACAACATCCCCATGGCAAGACCTACGATGAGACAGGTGGTGAGTTTTTTGGATTGGGAAAGTGAGGTTCCAGACTATTTGATGCCACCCACTGGATCCGAGGGGGGTAAGAGCAGCGCCGGCGCCGGCGCCGGAGCAGAGGGGTTTGATGATTTCGTCAATTCATTCCCATCTTCCTCTTTTGATAACGTAAGTACTTCCTACTCTTTCATGGGAAATGCAATCGGTGGTGCCAGTTTTGCTTCTCTCTCTACTTCTCCACGTTCCCTTCTTGGAGAAACCAGGAGAGAGAGATAATTTAGAAGGAATTCAGACTTCGAACATGTACTTCTTTTCGAACTCTTTTTCTTGGTTTCTACAAGACCAGAAAGAATTTTCCCGGAAAAATAATCTACTTTCCAAGAAAACTACATCTCTTTGTTTGTGCTTGTACAGATTTTCATCTCATCCATCAAATTTTCATTCCTATTTAATACTTGGACCAGATTTACCTTTCCTCAGGATTCATGTCAGCAATATAGCTGTAAATGTAAAGCACCACATAGCGAACGAAGAGTATATGTATCCTTTAACACCTTCCTTCAATAACAAATTGGTAATTTAGGGTTGTTCATTGTTCGAGAATTGAATTCGATCGAAAAAAAAACCAGAATATGAGAGAAAGTTTGAATCGAATATCGAACTAAAATGCATCAAACTTTTCGTTTTAGTAGTCATCAATATTGTCACAAAATAATAGTCAATTTCAATATGTTTCGTCCTGACTCGAAAAACGAAAGACACGAAAATAATTCTTTCAATACAACACAAAATTACAAGCGGAGAACAAAAGAAAATAAAAAATATATAGATTTAGTGCCTTATAGTCATTTTCTTTAGAAGGTAATAGTAGATTATTTCATAGGAATAAACGAAATTAAATTAACATCCTACGGATACCCATTGAATCGGAGTCAATGATTATTAACGATTAAATAGATAAGATTAAATTAAACAAGATATAACGGGTTTAAGTACGACGTAAAAATAAAAAACAATTTTTTTAAAATTTTTTCTAAATTAGTAATTTAACTGAGACAAATTTGACCATAAATTCACGTGATATAACAAAAAAAAAATTTAAAAATTTTAAAATCATACTTTAAATTTTGTCATTATGTTTTAATTTTTGTGATTGATTAATAAGCACATGATGGTTGGTCTTGAATCAAATAGTGGTTACCCACTACCAATCTATAGAGAAGCTCTTAGTTTATATGTCAAATAAGTCATGATCATGGTAGACCATATACATATATATGTATATATATGTATATGTATGTATGTATGTATGTATGTATCTATACATGCATCTGTATATGTGGGTGGGAAAGGAATTTTTTTTTTTTTTTCCAGAGCCGCCACTATAAGTAAAGGTGGGCATACATGGAAATAACATGTGAACATTATTATTATTATTATTATTTTGAATTTTTCTTTTTCAAAAAGCTAATTTTCCTCCATAATTTTGAATAATTTTTTTTTTCAAAATTTTAAACTACACAAATAGAGAATTAATTATTTTAAATTTTTGTAATTTTTAATATAGATATTTTATTATTGAATAAATTGAAAAGATAAATTAAATAAGAAATTATTTTATAAAAATTAAACCAACGATTTGTTTTGGTCCACCGTATCCAAATTGATTTATTGAACACGGCACCAAACTCGGCCTTAGAATTTTTCAACTTTGCTTCTCATTTATAATATTTCGAGTCGTGACAAAAATTATAAAGTTCTAATTGTAAATAGAGGTTGATTTAATCATCTCCATTTTGTGTTTATTAATTCATCATAATTTTCAAATTGATCGTATGTATAATTTAATTCAAAATGGAAATACAAGTGTGATTACCATATATATAATTGTAAATGACCGGTAAATCAAATAAAAATCAATCAGATATAAATGTGAATAAGTGTATATTACCGTATTAAAAGCTTTTAACTTATCCGAACTTGTTCTCTTATTATTGGGTTTACCTCTCAACATATATTGAGTGTCTTATCCTCGCTTTTGCTACACGTAAAATAAGAGTTAGATTTTCAATACTGATTTCTGGTCTATTTTGTTTCTGTCGTCTTCTGATACTTTTTCTATCATCTATTCTTGGAGTTATTTGACCTTTACTCTCTATTATAATATAGTTTTATATTGTTTATAGTTTTTTTGTTGTTGTTGTTTGTGTAGGTACAACTTTATCTCTGTGATTGATGCTAATTATTGTGATTCTTTCAGTTTTATCTTATGGCCTCATTCTTAAATTTCATACGGGATCTACAATTTACTTAAATAGAAATCGAGATTCTTAATCTGTCTAGTTCTCTTCTCTTATAAGATAGTAAGAGTATAAAGTTTCTACTGATTGGTAGGAAGCATACAAAGTGCACAATAAGTACCTAGGTTTTTCCATAGATGATGAGGAAACTTTGGAGGCTAAAAAGCCATACGGAGGCTAGAGTGCGGTCAAAGAATTTATTCCTCTTTCAATTCGATAATGAAAAGGATGTTTAACATGAGCATAGGGGCACATCATGATATTTTAAGTGCTCTATTATTTGTCTCGCTATGTTTACTGGTAACGTACCTTAAGATAGATTTTATGTTATCATATTGAGTTATTGGGGCACATTTATGATCTTCCATTGACCTTGTGAAAAAAAAAAAGTGAAAAAAAAGATACGATACTAAAATTGGGGAGGTTCTCTTTGTGGATCCTATGATAATAGGTGGTATAATCCCTCACTTACAGAGTCGAATCAATTTCGACATTCACAACCCATTCCTATGTGAAACATTAATTTCAGTAATGGTGATCATCATTGTATGGGTTTCCGTACAAGTAGTTTCCCTTGTTTTTCTACTCATGTAGTAGATTAGGTCATTCGAAGAAGGCACGTGAAAATCATTATGGCCATATTAAAGCACCATAATATGTAAAGGGTTCCTATGCTACTCTTTTACACACCATCAACGAGAATGAACAAACAAATACTACACCTATTTTCTTAAGTTAATGGAATCACTAAACAAAATATTTGTTGACCCTGTTATTAGGAAAAAGATGTCGTTAGTTAAAGTGGAGACAAATAATGAAAACACAATTATAAAGATTGAAAGTCATTTAACACTGAAAAATATACTCGTTTCATGCAGCAAAAGGATCAACTGGATGAAGTAACATAACGATAATAAGAAAACATAATAATTTTATAGGCTCAATACATGTAGTAGTATTATTGTTATTTTGCAACTTACACTTACAAATTTTAATTTTTTACGATTTAAAGGATTAAAATCAGCTCCAATAGAAGTACGATATTAGAGAGATATTACCACTACAACAGAAACTCGTTCATTGAAATAACTTAATGTGACCTCAAATATGTTAATTAGTCCTCTTTTTCTAAACTTAATTTCTCAAGTTTAATGTATGACAAGAGATATGTACATACTACGCGTATAAAACGAATGGAATAACGTACGACAAGAGATGGATGATGACTCATGCCATCGCTAAGTTGGCGATGACCATGCATGGCGCATGCCATGTTCAGCACATCCATGCAATTTCATCCCAAAACGCATTTTAAAGTCCAAGCCCGTCAGAAAACCCGAAGTCCATCTAGATTAAAACCAATCCAACCAACATAAGAAAAACGACCTGGCCTATGGGCTGACCCGACCCGGACCTGATACCGCCTCCCATCTTGCTGAAACGGTGCGTTTTGGTAAGATCTTTATCTTCTTCCGTTGGGCACTGAAGTCGATAATGGAGGGAAGCAAATAGGTTCCTGCTGGTTGAAAAAACGAAGAGAAGAGACAAGAGAAACAGAGTAACCCCAGCATATATATATATATATATATATGTACACACATAATGTAACCATGAAATTCCAAATAAACAACAAGATGACTTTATTTGGAAAAAAAAAAAGATTCACGTAGGTGTTTGTGACAGAGAGAGAGAGATAAACACATATATATATATATATATATATGTTAGCCAGTTCTGGGAACTTTTTCAACAATTCCAGCAGAGTCAACGAATAATCGAACGCGTTCGAGCCTGAAATCCATTGTGATATAGTGATCCGATGGAACCACGTGTATCTTAGCTCCTGGCATTTCTTCTTTTATCTTCCTCTCTGCTTCCTCTGCACTTTTTCCTACAAGCTCCGGCCATTCACTCTTCCCAGCCCCGTCGTTCGATCCACCCAACTGCCCGTAAAACCCTGCAACTCCATACGTATATGCACCTTTACATATACACATCCATATATATATACACACACACACATAGAGAGAGAGAGAAAGAGAGAGAGAGGTATTACTTGGGCATATTCAACTTAACAAATAATAACCAACCGTGCAGTCATATATATACATATACATTTACAGATATACACCAACAGTCACCGAAACTAGCTACACCTATATATAAATCTTTACATGTATGCATACGTATGTATGTGCTGAAGCACATCAAGATATAGCTAATTACTTGGCAACGGCAAAGTTGGTGTTGGTTGCTGGTGAGGCTGCTGCTTTTCCTCCTCCATTACTCCAAACTCTGATCCTCACCACTTATTATATGTATACATATACATATATGCATATATATATATATATTTAAGGAGTCCGTCACATGTGTACGCGTATATATATATATATATGTGTGTGTGTGTGTGTTACAGCTCATACTATTGACCTCCATTTAATAGATGCATTAACTCTGGTTTCATCACGATGATAAGCTTTTCAACGTCCATGTGTCCGATTTCTATCTAATCCATGGATTATTATACTTTTCTGCATAATATTGCCGGCCATTCCTTATTTTTCTAATGAAATAAGTGCAGCACCAGTGTATTCCTATTGACTGTAAATTAAACTTCAATTATCTTTTCTTCTTTTTGATAAAGTAATGGTGGGAATTGTTACAGATAGGAGGAAGAGGCTAGAGAGATTAAGATTCAAGTATTTCTATTGTAATTTTTATAAAAAAATTTAAATTATATGTATATTTATAGCT